AATAGCAGCGCGACAATGTAGTTCTATTAACAGCGAACTAATTGGCTACTTTTCTATACGAAAAAGATGCGCCTTTTTCGCAAAATTCGATTGCCGCAATCGCATTCTCAATAGCTGTTATATTGGTAGAGTTATTGCGTGTAGAAGTTTAGCGTAAAGTTGGTGTTGTAATATTAGAGTAGCTCGTTAGCTACTCTAGCTTATTAGCTAGCTAACCTCGGTACGCTTTCTTTAGAGAAGCAAAACAACTTACATTAAAAAGCTGTAGAAAGTGCAATAAGTGCGAAAGCATGCAAATAGTAATAATTTTGTTTTCTTTGTAGTATTGCTAGAATGCAAGCGAGTTATAGCTCTTATAGCCGTTAATTGCGAGTAGTTAGTAGCTGCTAACTACTTTTTTCTTTGTATGCTTATTAAAGTGCTTTAACTACTGCAGCCTAAGCTTATTTGTTGTCTAGCTCTTTTTAAAAACTGCAATAACTTAGTTTTAGAGCAGATACTTCTTTTTATACTAGGCAAAGAAGTAGTATCAGCTTTTAAAAATAATAAAAAGTAGAATAGCTTACTCTGTTGCGTTGATGCTTTAAATAACTATTGTTTACTTTCTATTACCTTGCTGTATTGCCTTTAGCTATTCTCGTTTCTTTAAAGCTGTAACAACTGCTTTAGTTAATATCTAGCCTATTATAAAGCCTGTTTCGTTAAAGTTGTACGTGTTTACATTTTAGATACTGTACTTAGTTTTTATGTTAGCTACTAAGCGAAACTAGCTCTAAATAACTTTAAAATTTTTGCAAAGCGCTTTTTTGTAATTGTACTTGCAATTAAACTTTATTGTAAACTTAAGGCAGTGCATAACCTACGTACTAGGCTAGTTTAAGCTAACTTAGCCTAGATTGCGCTTTGCGCGCAAGGAATTGGCTATATTAGCTACAGCTGCAAGCCTAAAGAGAAATCTGCGCGATATAAGCTTAAGTATATACTCAACAACTACGCTCTCTTTAGTCTTTGTTAGATTTATTAATTTAGGCCTATAATCTGCTTGTAAAGGTTGTCTAGCGCGTTAATAGCTTAGTGTTGTTTGAAAAACGTTATAGATAGCTGCAGCGCGTTGCAAGAAAAGTGTCGCGTTTTGTTTAAAAGCTTAAAAAGCAGTTTGTATCTAACGTTTATTAAAAAGTTCTATCTAGTGTTGTTGTTGAAACATTGTGTACATAGGTAGAGTTGGTAGAGGCTTGGCAAAAGTGTCTTGCGAACTCGTGTAGCTCAACTACTCGTAAAGTACGTTAATGCTCTAACCTTTTTCTTTTTCTACATTCGTTGGCTGAATATTCTTTTTAATCTGCTAACAATACTAATTATAAAGCCTTTCGAATTTATCTAATATTAATCGATTTTGCTATGTAAAAGCTAAACATAGAAGCGATATTTATTCTCTAAATTAGCTTTGTAGCGATTGCTGTTCATGCCAACTGTTTATTGTAATATAAGATAAATGCTGTGCCGGTTGATAAAGCGCGTAACCTAGCTTTTACTAACTAGCTCCTAGGCTATCGCTAATGCGAAATTTTGTATCATCTCTCTTGTAGAAAGTATATGTCTTTTTAATAGTCTTTTAATATACTGTACAAGCTCCTGCTCTTGCTGTAGGTTGAGTTTCTGTTAATTAATCTTCTTAGCTTCATTAGAGGCCTGAACGCGCTTGTGCCTTCGCGATAACGTAGTTCTGTTGACATTATAGGTAGCAGCGATTTTTCTATACGAGAATGATTCTTCTAGATCCAAAGATTCGATTGCATCAATCGCATCGTCGATTGCTCCTATGTTGGTGGAGTTAAGACGCGTCAAAGTTAGGGGGATTTCGGTGTTTTGGTGATGGGTGGCTCGGCACGCGCACAGACACGTTAGTCTTGGCATCTGGGAACTTCACGCAGCCCGGCCGAGACTCTGACCACCGCTCCACCAACCATCCACTTGCAGCACGGCTGCGACCAGGCCACGCCCCATCGCATGGCCATGGCAGGGTTGGAGTGAATGTAGTCAAACAGAAAGAGGTGGACTTGTTGGCTTACACTCAGGCTCCTCCTCTCATGCAGCCGCCGCGAGCTCTCTCATGCAGCCGCCGCGAGCTGTCTCACGCAGCCGCTGCGATCCCTCTCGTGCAGCCGCTTCGATCCCTTTCCCGCAGCCGCCGCGATACCTCTCTCGCATCCGCCGTAGTCCCTCTCATGCAACCGCCGCGGTCTCTCTCGCACAGTCGCCGCGGTCCCTCTTGCGAGCTCGACGCCGATCGGGAATACGCTCGATATTGGCACAGGGCATGAATGCAGTGTAGGGTGGGGTGGGGTGTCTTAGGGAGAAAGAGAAAGGGTCGCTAACTTCCTGTGGACGGGAGTCAGAACCTGAGAGAGAACTTGGGGACCCAAGAGCAATACCCACCCGAATGGGGGTCTGACGACCAGAGGGGTGCCGCGTGGCATTAACCTGCTAGATAACTAGTAACAGCAAGAGGTTTAAAGCCGCATGCAAACTTAGGGACCAAAGAGTAATACCCACGTAAATAGGGGTCTAACGACTACGAGGTGCCGCATAGTAGTAACCTGCTAGATAACTAGTAATAGCAAGGGGCTTAAAGCTGCATTTAAACTTAGAGACGTAAGATTAATACCTATGTGAATAGGGGTCTAACGACTAGGGGTGCCTCATGGCAGTAACCTGCCAGATAACTAGCAACGGCAAGGGGCTCGAGGCCGCACACAAATCTTCGCTGCAACCACAGGGAGGTCGAGCGGATAACTGTGACATGTCAGTATACGTGGTATGCGAGACTCGGGGTCGAGTGTGGTAGAGCGAGAATGGGTGCGGACGGGCATGTGAGATGGGAGCGAGCATCCAGATACGGCCAGCATCACAGGAGGGCGAGCATTGAGCAACGGCAAGCATCACAAGAGGGGGAGCGTCACAAGAGGGCGAGCATTGTGAGAGGACGAGTATTGTGAGAGGACAAGCACGAAAAGGTGTCAAGACTGGTGGGACGGTAGTGTTCGGTCCGCAGTCCCTCGCGACTTCCGCAGTTGTGACCGCCAACACCACTCGACCCACTCATTCTGCTATCTTCTTCTATCTCACATCCACGTCATCTGCTGCTATACTGGTCTGTTACGAGGTCGACGTGGGCGCCTTTGCCTTCGCTCACGATACCGCCCGCTGGCTTCAATCTCGGCGTGATGTAGCTCGACGTATTTGCCAACGTACGACACCCAGTCTCGCATAATCACTCGATCTGTCTTCGACATCTGCTCGCCCCTATCCCAGCTGCTGCTGCCCTCCTCCAAATTCCTCGGCCTCGTCTCAAACCGCCTAGGAATCTCGCGCTGCTTTTCGTCATGGGTGGCAGAGCACAGCAGTCAGAACGCAAGCGTGCTGCTCGTGCCGCAGCCAACGCGACAAAGCCCCGCGTGACTCCTACTCCTGGTAACGTTCAGTCCAGCTACCTGTTTGTTCCTTTACTAACGCTACGCAGCGTATGTCAGAGAGTTGGCCAAGTCTGTCTTCCCAACGCTCACATTCCGGCCCTTCTACCAGAGTATGAATCAGGCGAAGCAGCAAATCCGGTTGATGTTGCTCCAAGACAAGTTTGAGTGGGACAATGTCGGCACGGAAGATCAGCTGAAGGAACGAGTTTAAACTGGCGTTTGAGGTGGCGAAAATTGGCGTCGAGCGACATAGCTACCGCATCGGGGAACCAGGGTCTACAACTAACAACAGCTCGCTTCACAAGACCAAGTCATCTGCGATCACCCAGCGTCTGTTGGCTGAACGGGTCCCTTTCGACCGCCCTCCGTACACACCGAGTAAGCAAGACAGTGCCGGTCCCGAGGTCGAACGTCCGCCTCAGCAAGGTCCTAGACTGCTGCGGGTACAGCAACATCCGCGGCAGCAGCTCATCCAGCCCCTTCTCAGGCATTCCAGACTGAGACCGACTACGGGAGCCCGCCCGAGATAGACGACGTCAGCCAATAGGAGCAGCCGGCATCTGTTGATGTAGCGTCACCGCCCGACGATCAACCGGACAGCCGTCGTATGTCACGTACTCCGCCATCTCCAAAGCGGCTGCCACAGCAGTTGGGAGCAAAAAAGCGGAAACGAGCCGTGTCACCTCCAGGCGGGCCGCACCACCGCCGAGGAAAGCGAACAGTTTGGACGCGTCTGCGAGACGAGGAAGTCACTAAGCCGGTCGATGACACTGACGTGGAATCGGATCCTGTGAGAGACAATCAAGCTCGACGGAGCCGAACCACGCGCACCGAGCAAAGCACCAGTCACCGAGAAGAGGAAGCCAACCAGCCAGTTGATGACATCGACTCGGACTCGCAACCCGTGAGAGATAATCGAGGTCGACGGAGCCGAGCCATGCGCCCCAAGCAAAACACTAACACTTGATGAGACCCCCATTGATCACACAGTAGAGCACGAATCATCAGAGCAAGCTACCGTCGCGCCCAGCGCAGGCCCAGGCGAGAAGTACGGAAGCCATAGCGATACGGCATGGTTGATTTGTACTCGGCGAACTTTATACAGCCATGAAGCAACGGGTGACCGGCGTAGCAATGATTTGTGTAAATTAGAACAGTCTCTGTCTATCGCCGTGCAAAGCAACAGTTTCTATACGTGCCTTGTAGTTGCATTCATTTACATCTAAGTAGCGAGAATCGAATTTTTCGTTTATGCACTTCTCCGTAGCGAACAGCAAATACTTGATAATGCCCTTCCATCCGATCTTCGTGGTTGATCATGCTGTGTGTGTAAGACTAATTGCTAGTGGACCCACAAACGTTGCAGCCGAGACGCTATCCAATCGCTAAGCTAGCTTAGTGCCCCTAGGTCCCGCACAAATGCAAAATGCCCCACTCACCCTTTCTCAAGCTTTGACGCTTTCACTTTCTCGCTCACTCTACATTATCTACTCACAACGTTTAGAATTTTCATAAATCAAATAAGGGCTTGTGGTCTAGTGGTATGATTTTCCCTTAGCAACGTTGGGAGTTAACACCCAAGTTTCAAGATGGGAGAGGTCCAGGGTTCAATTCCCTGCAAGTCCATTCTTTTTGCATTTTCCATTTCCTGGTGGATGCGTGGTGTAGGAAGTCCTTTTTTTTTGGTGCTTGGGTGGCGGCTTGTATCTACGGGTGTTTAGAGACTGATAGGGCAGGCTACCGATTACATCCTTGCGCTTGGATACGAGACTGACTGACTCCTAACCAGTTTTTGTGTAATTACTTACGGCTGTCTCACTTTACATCCAGCATCCTCTAGGGCGATTGCCTACTCGCCCCACAGAAACGCTAACCGGAGGTCACTGTATCATATCCTTCGCGCGGGCCACCGCATCATATCTTGAGAACGACGACATGATGAAAAGAAGTACGCTCCCTCATCCAGTGGCGGCAGGGCCAGGGACGCCAAGATACCCAGGCACCACGCGTATGCTTTATTGTTTTGCAGTCGGCACCCTCTTCCTCTACCTCGTGGTACGTAAAGAACACTCAGTTCACATGTACCCCCCTTACCTACTTATCAAATCCGACAGAATAACATATCAATAACTCCGTCCCCTCACCACACCCCATCGGAGAAAGATCAGTTCCAGGAATGCTCCATCGCCGCATACCGAGCCACAGGCCTCGACTTCCTGCGCCACGCCGCGCGACCCCCACTGGAAGAGTACGTCCTGCGTAGGAACAACCTCGCCAACGCCCTCGTAGCCGATGGCATCGACGCCTTCGTTGTTGAGCCCGGCTATACGTTCAGCTACTACGCCAATATCACCCAGCCGGACTGGGAGCCCTAGGAGGCACGTCGCACACACTTACCCCCACTCACCTCCTACTCTAATTAACATGACCCCCCCAGCCCGAAGAACGCCCCTTCCTCATGGTCATCCAGCCCTCGACCCTCCCTAACGGCACCATCATAGCCACCACCACCTTCCTCGTCCCCTCCTTCGAAGAGCCGCGCGCCCGCCTCCTCCACATGCCGTTCCGCGCCGCGCTCTCCACCATCCCCTACGCCGAGCACTGGAACCCGTACGCCACGCTGCGCGCCGCGCCCATCTGGCACGGCAATACCACGTCCTCACCACACCTCATGGTCGACGACGAGATGCGCGACTTCATCGCGCGCGGCCTCGGCGCCCACGGTTTCACTGTCAGCGGGCTGCGCGGCGAAGTCGAAGCCGTCCGACAGACGAAGACAGCGCGCGAAGTGGGCATCTTGTGCGCCGTGAACACAGGGACGGTGGAGGCCATCCGCGCGGTGCGCAAGTGCTTGTATCGCGGCGTGAGGGAGCACGAGGTTGCGGCGGTGCTAGACCGCACGATGCGCGTCGCGGGCCTGGCTCCGTTTTTCGACATCGTCGAGTTCGGGGAGTCGGCGGCGCTGCCGCATGGCGGACATGATGGGATGAGGGCGCTCGAGCCGGGCGATTTTGTGCTGGTTGATGTGGGCGCGCATCTGTATGGGTATAGCAGCGATGTGAGCCGGACTTTCTACCCGCCGTTCTTTCCGCACCCGGCGCCGCCGCGGTACAACGTCACTGAGAAGTTGGCTGTGTGGCAGCTTGTGCTCGATGCGCAGGCTGCGTCTGTTGGAGCTATGGTGCCGAATGGCACGGCTGCAGCGGTGGATATCGCGGCTCGAGAGGTCATCGAGGCGGCAGGTTATGGGAAGTACTTTACACATCGGTTGGGCCATAGCATTGGCATCAAAGCACACGAGAGTCCGTACTTGAACAAGGGAAATTTCGGGGCGGTTTTGAGGCTGGGAATGGTGTTTACCAGCGAGCCAGGTGTCTACGTACCGGATGAGTTCGGAGTGAGATATGAAGATGTCTTAGTGGTGAAAGAAGACGGGGACGCGGAGAACATCAGTGGCGGATTTGCTAATAGCCCGTGGGAGCCATGATTATTCTATGCACTCTCGTCTATATTTGTCATTGTACCTTTCAAATTCTTACAGAGATGAACTCACGAGTCTAAAACTCGGCATTACGCCTTCCCATCGCATAATTGCACCACAGCCCACTTTCCACTCCACGCCCACTTTCTCGAACCGCTATCACCTCCGCCGCCTTCTGTCGCCTTGATCCGCTCGTCTTCGCCCTCGGGGAGACCCACAACAACATCAGCCTTGCACGTTCGCAATGCCAAAATCCGGATGCCGGAGCCAGGTCCCAGAGGACCAATCGCTTCTGTGAATGGTGTCGCTGCTGGCCAAGCCGCCTAAAGAAGCTGTTAGTGCGATATAATTGACGTGCTTCAGTTAGAATACTCACGTCTGAAGTCAGCTTCCTGTAATTCAAGTCTCCCTTGAAGATCACAAGCTCGCTCTCCTTGAGGTCTTCGAACAAACTAGGCTCTGTTTTCGGCAGCCTCCAATAGCTACCAGCCGCCGTCCAGAAAAGATTTGGACGTAGCATTAGCTGACCTTCAGCATGAAAGCCGGCCCAGTGCTCCAACAGAAGCTTGAGATCGCCGACTTCCGTGTCAGAAAGTGGCGTGGGTGTCTTTCCGGCACGCTTGTCGTCTTCCGAAACTGTACTGTAGAATGTTTGCGGATCGGCCAAGGCAGAAAGGAGAGATGCAAAATCCTGAGGCAACACGTCCGAGACGAACCAAGGGATCGACTTTGGGTGGAGTACTACCGTAGTGGCGAGTCCCGCAGCCAGCAGATAGCCTGCCAAGATCAGGTCCACGAACAGCTCAAACCCGGCATTGTCGAGCACAATGTCGACTCTCCGTTCCTTCTGTCCTGACTTCTGGGCCGCACTCAAGATAGAAAAAGCCTTAGCGAGGTCATTGACCAAAATGTTTTTCTCTGATGCCTTGCGGGCGTCGGAGCCTTGCAGCTTCTGGAGGTCCTCGTAGGAAAGATTTGTTAAGAGAGACAGGTCCGTCGCATTTCCCCATAGACATATCTCGGACATCTCCTGAAATAAGACCTTTTCGGCCTCTTCGAGCTCCTGCTGTGTCCCTGCGCCCTTTATCGTGTGCTTTGACTCGAGATCGTTGACGATGCTCTTGTAGCGAGCGGCTAGTTCGACGACGGCGGGACGTGATGAGCGGAAGGTGGACATCTTCTGACGAGCAAACAGGTCATACGACTTCCATTTCTGGGTCTGTTTGAAGATGGTCGAGATGCGTCTTCCTAGGGCTATCAGCATTCACACCGAGATGTTTGACTACGCAAGTGGAGAAAGTACCGGTATAGATAGCATTCTGCGTATAGCCATGGCACAGCATGCCACTTCGGATTGCCCAAGGCTTCCAGCTCCTCGTTGTATGCTGCCACGTCTGGTTCGCCATCGTCGACCAACGGGCTGAGCTCTCGGTCGTGCTGGAGCTCGTGTTTCAGCCTGGCCAGCTCGGAGATGACCCATTTCCCTTCCCTCTCCAGCTCCGGATCTTTGGCGGCCCCCGTCGATCGGTACACGTCGTCAATGCCTTGTGTGATGATGACCGGCCATCGCTCGCGCGCAGATATGTAGCCGAATGAGGTTGGGTCGTCGGTGCGGTATTGCGCTTCCAAAGGTCAGAAGAGCCAACAATGTGTAGAGACATACTTACGAGTCTTGGGATCGTGCTCCATCTTGAGCAGCCGGAAGTTGTTGATGACTTTTTCGATGGCGGGGTAGTGGGGTAATGGGCTTCGTTGCAACGCGGTGTATTCACGCTACTCCGAAAGCGGTATAGCCTCATATCGCCACCGTGACACTCCAGGAGTCATACCTCGTCCACCACACCACAATCCCAGACTCCGGACATCTCAACAACACCAATATGGACCTATACATGCCCCTTCCTATTGAATTGGTTCTACACGTAGTCACTGGGTTACTTCCCAAATACCCCAACGTAATCCTCACTCCTTCGCATCCCATCACCCAGACTCTTTACTCCTTCACACTGGTCTGCCATGAGACACGAAAACTAGCAAACCGGTATCTTCGCCAGCACTGCGTCTACCTTTCGTCCAGGGCACGGCTGCAATCTTTCGTTCTGGCCGTACCCACCCGTCCTGATCTGCGTAATATCACAGCCTTGTTCTTGGCGCCATTTACGGACGAAGTCGAGCATCAACCGGATGTTGCCATAATGATGTCGGAACTCTTCGGCTATACATGCTCCACTCTCAAGCGTCTGGTCATTGACATGGATTTGGGACACTTCGATGCAGTAGCACTTAGGGGGGACCTTCAAAAGGTTCTTCAAGAAGGATTCGAAAAACTCGAGAACCTCGAGGAGTTTGTCAGTATACGAGACGACTTGCATATTATAACTCCTCAATACGAGGGCGAAGCCTTCGCCCTCTTTTGGAAACGATGGACAAAGCTTCGGCGGCTCGCATTATGTGAGGCTGAGGCCGATTCGGAGTTCTGGACATATGTCGCAGAGTTGCCGCATCTAGGCACCCTCATCTTGACACGCGCAAACCAACTTGGAACGTGGAATATGAAGGCGGAATTCTTCCGACATACTGATCGACCCCTCAAAGTGCTACTCGTTGACGTGGAAGAGGATCAAATACGGTTTGGCAACATGCGTCGAGCTCATTGGGATGCTGTCGATCCAGACAGGAAAATGACTATCATGACATACACCATACCCCGTATCTTTGAAGACGATAGTATTCGGGAGGTTTGTCATGGCTTTATCAGGACTGGTGCGGAGAATGGTACACTGTGGGATTGGACTGGAGAATTAATTCAGGTGCGCATGATTCTCCTGATGCTTTTCATTCATAAACGCTGACCTAGTTCTCTCACTGTTACAGCATCTACCGAAAATTCCCGCTGTAGCTTCTCGAACGAATCCGTCCTAAGAGTACTTGTATTCTCAGCACTACAACGGCACTTCTCTAAACCGAAAGTAGTAATTAGAACCTACTACGATGTTCTCATATAAGGATACAGAAACATCGCAATCATCCCTTCTACGTCCTTTCAAAGCGCCTCAAACCCCTTCGCCAAGTCAACCAGCATCTCCGTCAATCTCTCAGGCTGCGCAAGCTGCGGCGAATGGCTACTCTCAATGTCCTTCACAAT